GAACAGGAAGTGTAGGGAACGATGAACAGAGCTTCAGAGACCCGTGGGCCCACAGTAAAAGGCCCGACACTCACATCACCGAGTCCCAGAGGGAGTAGAGACAGGGGTCAAGGCTGGAAAAACACGCTTGAAGAAATAGCAGCCAGACACTTCCCACACTGGGGCCGTTTACAGATCCGAAATGCTCCGGGAGCCCCCAAACAGAGGTTAACCTTAAACTCTTCCCTGTTGACTTTCTCTTGGTAGCCCGTTCAAGCTTCTCATAGATGCTGTAAGTCCTGAGCTATTAATTCCCTTTCATTTGAACAACACCACCATGGATGGGAAGAAGCACCATTACTTTGGGTAACATTTTTTTTTTAAGTAAAACATACCATGAATTTTAATCAATTTATTAATTAATTTAGAGGTTCCCAAATTCTTTTTTTTTACAAGAGAATTTTTAAAATATATTTTATCAATTATGCCATTACAGTTGTTCTATTTCCCCCTTCATTCCCCTCCACTCTGCGTACCCCCCCCCACCATTCCCCCCCTTAGTTTATGACCACGTGTCTCAGGTTCTTTAGATTCTATATTTCCCACACTATTCTTGCCCTCCCCCCTATCTATTTTGTACCTACCATCTCTGCTACTTATTTTCTGTACCTTCTCTCCCCTTCTCCTTCTCCCACTCCCCTGTTGCTAACCCTCCATGTGATCTGCATTTCTGTGGCTCCTCTCCTGATCTAGCTGTCCTCTTAGTTTGCTTTTGTTCTAGGTGTGGTTGTTAATAACTGTGAGTTTGCTGTCCTTTCACTGTTCATCTTTTTTATCTTCTTTTTCTTAGGTAAGTCCCTTTAACATTTCATATAATAAGGGCTTGGTGAAGATGAACTCCTTGAATTTGACCTTATCTGAGAAGCACTTTATCTGCCCTTCCATTCTAAATGAAAGTTTTGCTGGATAGAGCAATCTTGGTTGTAGGTCTTTGGATTTCATGACTTGGAATACCTCTTTCCAGCCCCTTCTTGCTTGTAAGGTCTTTTGAGAAATCAGCTGACAGTCAGATGGAAACTCCTTTGTAGGTGACTGTCCCCTTATCTCTTGCTGCTTCCAGGATTCTCTCCTTCACTTTAATCTTGGCTAATGTAATGATGATGTGCCTTGGTGTGTTCCTTCTTGGGTCCAACTTCTTTGGGACTCTCTGAGCTTCCTGAATTTCCTGGAAGTCTATTTCCTTTGCCAGATTGGGGAAATTCTCCTTTATTATTTGTTCAAATAAGTTTTCTACTTGTGGCTGTTCCTCTTCCCCTTCTGGAACCCCTATAATTTGGATGTTGGAACGTTTAAAGACGTCCTGAAGGTTCCTAAGCCTCTCCTCATTTTTTTTGAATTCTTGTTTCTTCATCCTTTTCTGTTTGGTCATTTTTTTCCTCCTTCTGGTCCACATCTTGATTTGAGTCCCAGTTTCCTTTCCATCACTATTGGTTTCCTGTATATTTCCCTTCATTTCAATTAGTTTAGCTTCCATATGTTCCTCTAATTTGTGACTAAAATCAACCAGTTCTGTGAGCATCCTGATCACCAGTGTTTTGAACTGTGCATCTGAAAGTTCGGCTATTTCTTCATCACTTAGATTTATCAGCTCTGGGGCTCTGAGTTGTTCTTGAGCCATGTTTTGATCTCTTTGTGCCAATTACGTATGAGGAGCAGAGACTTAGTTGTTCACCAGGGCGGGGCCACCCAGGTCACTGGTTTGTGACGCTGTATATGGGGGCGAGGTCAGAGAGGGACAAGGCGGTTCTCTCTGCTGCTTTCCACCTCTGGGGCCTGCACAGTCTGTCTCACTGCTTGCTCCTTCACCGGTTTCTCTGCACGCGAATGTGTGACCACAGTCTGCCCTCAGTGGGTCCACCCGCTTCTCCACACCTGGGATCCGCCCATGGCTGCTGGCGCACCTGGGTAGTGTGCCCGGGTCAGTCCAGTGGATCTTTCCTGCCCGACCCTGCTCTGCTGCTGGCTCTGCCCCTCTTACCGGTTAGGCTGAAGGGTTTCTTGTTGTCAGACTTCCATGTAGTTCAATTTTCTGTGGTTTGGCTGCATTGTTGTTGCTAAAACTTTGTTATTTTTAAACTTAGTTGTGTGAGAATGCGTAGTGCTTCCACCTACGTCTCCATCTTGGCGGAAGTCCTCTGGGTAACATTTTAAAATTCTGCCGATTGGTTTTAAGGTGCTACTGTAAAAGACACATCCCGGTTTCACAGGAGTGAAAGCGCAGGAAGAAAAGGCACGCCCCGGAACAAAGATAAAGCATCCAGTGTGCAGTGCACCCCGAGAATGCAAAGGTCTGCGGCAGGCAGCGCAGGCCTGAGCTTACCGCCCGACGCCTACTGTGCGCTGCTCCTCCGCCAGCATCACTCACCACTCTCTTCCTGGTTTCGCAGGAAGAGACACAGCAGGCGCTTAGACAAACTCATGGCTCCACGGTGTTAAAGCTCCTGGGCACAGCCCCCGCCCCTCTCACTTCACATCCCTGTTCCCAGAAGGGAACAACCCAGCCCAGTAACAGCCCCGCCTCCACCCTGATCAGACTCCATCCCCACTTTTCTGGAAAGGGAGGCAGACTGGGCGACCTGTCTTCATTCTCCATTTCAGCCTGTTTCTACGCCCCGACCCAAAGAAACTCCTTGTAAATTCCACCCATGTTTGCAAACTCAGGCCGATGTCCTTATTTTAATGAAAATCTATTTCTGTCTTAATCTGGGACAGTTTGATGTATCTTTAGAGGCCATTTCAAGTGATCTGTAAAGCACTACAAGAATGCACTGGAAATTCATTTTTTTTAAATTAAAAAAGAAAAAAGCAGGTTCCAGGTTTTATAAAGTTGCATCAGCCGGGAAGTAGCAGCCAAGGATGGAGTTCCCTCCGCAGCACATGACCCCTTCCTCCCGCCTCTGAAACGGACGGGCCGTCTGAGCCTGGGGCGCCTCTCTAACGAGATCGCACTCACAGCCGCCGAGCCTTGGGAGAGGAAAGGAACCGCAACAGTATTTCCCTCCACTACACTTAGAAGTTCAGGTTTCTTACACTTTCCCTTTCCCAGACCTGCCGTCTTTAACCGTCTTTCAAATCACAGGGCAAGCGCTGCTCCCCCGACTACAGTCTGTGTCGATGGTGAGTCCCTGGCACCGCAGCAGTGGGCAGAGAGCTGGCACACAGACCTGGGACCGCCCTGATTGAACGCCACTTTGGACAGTTCCCTCCCCAACTCTAAGGTACAAGTCTGTTCTTCACAGCCACAGAGACAGAGGGCTTTTAAAAAATAACACTGGTTTGCTAATTAAAATGGACTTAACATGGTGACTCTGGACAGCAAAATGACCAAGAGCCCTTTTACACCGAGCACGTCACTCCTCCCCTGGCCGTGGTGGCGCCGTCGGCAGCCTGGCTCCAGAGGAGGAAGTCTGCCCTCCCGACTGCACGTCTCGAGTACACGCACCTTGGACACACAGTCCGAGGTGCCGCCGGCAGAGGCCACGCCATCTGGCTCATCTGCTCTTCCACAGCCAGCTGGGCCCAGTTGCTCCGAGAGCGGGTCTCCTCTCTGGAACGCCATCCCAGTTTCCTGGGAGCCCGGCTGTGCCAGACCATCGAAACGGTCCTGCTGTAAACAAACTCTGAAGCGCGACCTACAACCCCGAACCCTCCCGCCTGGATGCCCGAAGCACCCCCTGCACTTGCTCCCCGGGAAAGCTCCCAGGAGCTTCGAGGCCCCTGCGGGCCACTCCCATCAGATAAGCTTGGAGCCTTTGCGTAGCTCAGTCTGGAAACGAAAACTCGAGAGTAAAACTACAGACTGATGTGCTCCATTTACTGGGACACACGTGGGGCCACTTACCAAGTGTATTTCTTCCTAAGAGAAAAACCGACGCAGTGAGGAGTTCAATCCTCAGGTCTCAGAAACATCGGCCATTTCGAGAGGCTCCGAGAATAAAATGACCAAGTGCCCCCTTTCAGGAAAGCATGCTCGCATTTTCTTTTGGCTCGAAGGGGAGGGGGTGGTGGAGAGGTGAAGGTCAGGAGCTGAAAATATTATTTGGCTAAACAATTATCTTTTGCAAGCTGCTGCGCTGGTGTGACAGAGATCTGGGGTTTGGCACGAAGGAGCACCCGCCTCTCGATCTGATCCCCCCACCGAGCAGCCCGCCACCTGCAGCCTGGGGCCGGGCCCGCGGGAGGGGGCGCCCGGCAGACCCTGGCCTCCAGCCATGCTACCTCTCCTCAGGGCACTGGATCAGACATGGCAGACAACCAGCCAAAAATGTAAAAAGGAAAAGAAAAGACAAGGGGGAGAGGGCATGGGGAGGGAAAAAAACCCTAAAATTTGGACTCAGAAAGTCTTTTCAAACACTTTAATCCTTCCGTGCTGACGGTTCCTGGAGCGTGCGGGGCTGGCACTGCACCCTGGACGGGGAACACGCGACGCCCGCAGCCAAGGCGTTCCAGGGAAGACTGCTAATCACCTAAATAGAAACTGGAGTCTGCTCACAGGAGGGCTCTCCGCCCCCATCACCAGAGGGACGCCGCAGTGCTCTGAAATACACTCTTGACATCATTTGGCAGGCAACCCTATTTTGTTGAACATGATTCATCCCTTAGGTTATTGTTTTTAATATTCGAAAGTGAGCTTTTAAATGCCAAACAAATTTTGCAGCAGGGAGACAAAAGATATTCCAAGGGGTCTCACTGGACCTTCCGCCAACTGCGTCCACCAAATGGCTTAAAAGACAACCTTCCCGCGGTGTTGCAGAAATGAGGCAGCGGCAGCTCCGTCCAACTATTACCTAATACAAGACTTTGCTCCCCACGCTCACAGAGACAGCATCCATGGACAGGGCTGAACTCAGGTGGGCAAAGCTGTGGGGGGAGGAGGGAGGAGTGTGAGCACAGCAGAGAAAACCACACAGGCTGCAACGGAAATGCCGCGGCCACAAAGCCTGCGCGTTCCTCACACGTACCTCCTGTCCCTGTTGCCACTGACCAGGAGACTGGGAGGGCTGTCCCTGAGGTTGACGCACGTGAAGTCGCCCAGCGCGTTGCCCAGCTTCGAGAGGCAGCGTTCCGCTTCCAGGCTGTAGACCAGGATCTGGGGAGGGAGAGCACATGCAAGCGCCCCGTTACACACGGCAGACCCGCATCCCACACGCTTCGTTTCAGCCTTCTGTTCTGCCCCCGGATGCCCTGGCCTTTTCCAGGTGATGCTATTATAGGGCCTGGCTGTTCAATGACCAAAGGAAATGCAAAAGAAAACACAGGAATCCAGAGTCCCCCAGTCCAGGGTGCAGACAAACTCAAAGGGCGTGGAAAAGAACGCCAAACGAGGAAACGACGCTTCCCAGTTTCCCAGCACAGAGAGAGAGGCCTGGGAGCTGAGGTGGTGACTGCTTCTGGTCTGGGGTTCATGGGAGAGCTGGCAGGTGCGGAGATGGGCCGCCGAGCCAGCACGGGCTCCCTTCCCCCTCTGTCTGTATGTGCAGCACAGAAGGTGAAAGAACGTATGAGCATCGAGGGGGCAAAGCCTTCAGTTACCCTCCAGATGCTTCCCTTCAGACTAACCACAAGCCCAGACCCAAAGTCCTGGCCCTAACGTTTCTCTCCTGAGTCACTCTCCACTGGCTCATTTAAGAAGTTCCGTTCCTGAAGCCATGGAGGCAAGTGAGGAGGTGTTCCTGACCTCTAGACCAGGTATTTGTTAAATTTGCACCCTTCCGTGCCTTCTCTCCAGAGAAAAGAAAAATAAAATAATCTTCCTGAAAATTTAAGTCTTTTACTGCAAGTAAGTTTTAGTAATTTAATTCCACTTAATTAACATTAAATGCTGCTATGGGGCATTTATGGTAAGTCCTGAGGACCCGGTTCTCGCCAGAAAGTCCACACAGTTCAAAGCCTCCTGGTTAACAGAGTTCTGTGCATAGATTCTGTTGGGTTGATCATAGGGTTGGAACCGATCGCCGAACTGGAAAGTTTTAATATTCACATTTTGTAGAGAGGTTCTCCGCCCTTAGTACACACAGAGAGCGCGCTTTCTTTTTTCTAGTGGCCTATGCACTTACCAAGTACTAGTACACAGGTCCTTGTTTCAGTATTGAGAAATTAATACTGTCAACTGCCTCCCCCTTGAACTCCATCAATCTCAATGTCAACGTACATTTCTAACAAGTGAATCTGGGGAAATTCCTAGTAGTCCAGGCAACACGGAAATCTAACTAACTATATTTATTGCTTACCGCATTTGAAAGAGAATGATTTCAAATTTTAAGATGCCTGTTAATCCATAAAGACTATAGAGAGCAAGGTACATTTTACTTTTATTTTCATGCAGTTGAAAATAAAAGTTTCTATCAATTGTTGAGAAATTTTCAACAATTCTAAAATATCCAAAATAAGGTAATCTCTCCAGGTAAGAACGTAGAAATAATCAAATCTTCTATCTTTAGTGAACAACCTTAAAATTGCATAAAATCAGCTCCTGGAGAGAAAAAAATTAAAAGCAGCAACCTCACGGTCCAGCATAAAAGTAATAGCTGGCGCTCATTGTTAGATTAACCCTATAATTGAACCTTTAATAGGGTTCTTGAGCTCAATATCTTGTTTTTTAAGTAGTTCAACTTCTATAGCATGAAGGCAGGCCTTTAAAATAGAAAATGTCCATGCTAAAGATACAGGTTAAAATCTGACACTGAGTCCGTTCCTATTCTTGACCTCTTCTAGAAGTTCTTTCTTGACAAGCGGACGGGTCATTTCTGAGGGAAACAGTGAGATCTCATCCCCACTCCAAGACGACTCTGCATAAAGACATCTAAGGTAGCGGTCAGGAGTCGCGCACTTTCTAAAATGCTCAATAATTCACTGAGCCAGAGCCACCGTGATGAAGAGGCCCTCCATCACGCCGTTTAGTTAAAGACCACAGAGATTAGAAAGCACATTACCCCTACCAGAGGCGGTCCTCCCCCCGTGACAAGTCCCCCCACGACCTTCACCATTTCCCCCCTCCCTCCCGCACTCTCTCTTTGAATAGGTTGCGCAAATGGGACTTCATTTTATCTGACGGCCACGGACTGGTAGGATTAATTATTCATGCTCACCCTCTCCCTCTCGTTAAGACCACGCATTAGACTAATTTTTCTCTTCGTTGCCCTGGCTGGGTGAGCCCCAACCTGTGGCTACACGCCTCACTCTCGGAGGTGTGTGGGTGCGCTGGGAAGAGGGGAACAGCTACCCGTAGCTAAAATCTTGGAGAAAATACTCTGCACTAATGTGACCACCAAATCAATAGATGTTGCTGGGGAATTTTTTTCTTTTAAGTACCAAGTGAATATTACAAAAGAGCTTAAATAGCAATTACAGGGCAGACTTTTCCAGGAGGCGGGTGGTTCTTTAAGAATTTTCTAAAACGAAGCCCCACCTGGACTGGTGCACACTTTGCAAAGCTGCCTGCAGGAGGCGCCCTGCTCGGAGTGAATAGGCGGTGCCCCCTCTCATTTGTTAGCCAGCCCGCAGACCTCGTGGGCGCCTAGGGAAGCAAGTGCTGTTGGAAGAGCATCCTTTCAGCCTGTCTGTCTTCTTCACAATCTTAGCGTCGTTTTTATAAATCCTAGTGTTGGAATCCTAACCTTCAATTTTGTTCAAGTTAATCCAACATGACAGAATTACACAGCAAAAAGTGGAGACCTCTGTCCATCTTGCAGAAATCAGCACGTGAACAGCCAAACGCGAGCACTGCCGACCCCGCTCTGCACACGTCTGCCCCGTGTCTGTCTGTCTCCTCCTCTCCCTGCGTGTGCGTATACGATTATTCTCTTCTATGACTGGAGTTACTGTTCCACAGTTTGTTTTCTCTCCTAAATGGCATGAGAGTTCTTCCCTTGTCGATACCCACAGGTAAATCTCATGACTCTTCTCTATAGATATTCGACTCCATACTGACGGATGCTTGTTTCTGACTTGGAGAGAAAGTAAACAATGCTGTAATTCGAGCAAGAGCCTGTCAGCAACACGCGTGTACCAGTCGTCTTCCGTGCAGCAGACAATGGAATGACAGGGACAGTGCATGACGTTCAGAAGCCTCCACCTGCTGCCAGCTGAAACCAGCCACCTCTTCGCCAGCTGGTGTGCGGCACCAGCTGTCCTGCTCCTGCATCTGTGGGACTCGCCTCTGAGGAGACCCGCCTTACAGCCACGTCCTAGCAGCTGGTGTTGTGGGCAGCGGGGACAGCCGTGTACAGTCAGGAGGGAGACAGCGGCCATGTTGGGGAAGCGTCAGCCACTGCCCAGGGGTGACCCAGCCCACTCGGTGCCCAGGACTGTCTTTCTAACCAAACCACAAAGGAGAGAGCTGAGAAGCAGCCACTGTCCCTGCAGTGGGTGGGACTCAAGGTGAGGCAGCGCCCACCTCCCCAGGAAAAACTGGTGTCAACCCTGCAAACACTTCCTGAACTGGGGACTGCCCCCACGGCCACCACGCAGCCGGACCACCCACGTGCAGAAATCACCACAGAGAGATCGCAGAGACTTGCAGCCCCAGACTGCCAGTCACGTGCTGGTGAGTGAAGAAAGGAACCCCGTCTGGGTGTTCTTTGGTTAAGATCCCTCGCATTCATTTACCTGCCAAAGGCCTTGTGCCAACTGCGCCATCAACTGGGCAGCTGCTCACCCCTAAGAACCCCGCGCGGCCCTTCCAAAGCTGCTCGGCATGGCCAGAAGGCCTCCCGACAAGACAGAGCATTTCAAAAGGCGCTGTGAATTAAAGCCACCATGTCTGCCGCCATCACGAAAGCAGAGGAAGGGACAGCGCACAGGACTGGGGAGCCGCCGGGCTGGACTGCGGCCTAGTGAAAAATGAACGGCATGGGACTTTGACTGGAACTCCTCGGGGCAACAAGGTCTACCCCCTTCCGTTCTGGTCCCCCGTGACCCCCCTCAAGCCCCTCACACAGAGTTTGCTCTTCTGAGGGGGAAGCCACGAGGAGAAGCCAGAGTCTAGAGAGTACAGCGAATAATCCCTGCCCCCCTCCCCCCTCCCCGAGCCTGCATCCCTGCTGAGCTCACTCTGTGCCCGCCTGGTGCCCCCTCGTCACCGCTGAAGGTGTCCTGTCCACACACCTGCCTGGGCTGTGTCCCAGGGGCCCCTGTAAACGGCGCACTCACCAGGCCGGAGGTTCTCAGGTGCTGGAGGGCAGGGGTCGCCGAGGAGCCCGTAGCACTGGCGTGGCAGTGGGGGCTGTCGCCAAGCACCCTGGCCTGCCCTGGGTTGTAACACACTGCCCGAGGCCTCGGCGGGACCTTCCTTGGGAAAGAAGCCGTCTCATTCGCTCCTGCAGCCCCGAGTGAGGACCCAGCACGTGCCACGTGGTCAGGCAGCACTCAGACTGCGGGGTGCACGTGATCAGGGAGACCGGACCTCCGGGACACGACACACGCTCATATTCCTTTTGTTGCTTAACAACCCGCGCCCCCCCCACCTGCCCCCCCCCTTTCTGGGTGTCTAACCTGCTGCTGGCTTGGACAAGGGGGTCACCTCGTCCTACTCAAAGCAGGAACAGGCCCCACAGATCTCACTCCGCCAGAGTCTAGAACCCCAAATGGTGTCTGTCCAGCTCTGACCACAAGGCAGGCCCCTGTTCACAAACACCAAAAGCACTACGTCGGCGCAGCACGTTAATTAATGCACATCCCTTCGGTTTATCTGTTTGACTCCTGAGAAATTGGAGAAATTCGGAGGAACGAAAACGCACAACTCTAACACCAGAGGGGGAAGGGGGCTCTCATGCCAGGGGTGCTCTGTGACACCCCCAGCGCCAGGAGCCTGGAGGGCTGGGGAGCAGGAGGCAAAGACTCGATCTGGCCGGCCCCCTGTGGAACGCAGGGCTGCGGCCTCCCAAGTGCAGCCAGGGCCCCGCACGGCCAGGTCCACTCGGTAAAGAGCAAGCTCGGGGGGGAAGCCTGTTCCCTAGTCAAGAGAGCCAAGCCAGCAACTTGTCTGCCTCAGGTTCCGCTCAGGATGGAGAACGTCTGCCCGAGGGGCAGTCACAAATCTGCCCTCGCGCAGGTTCAGAGGCTGAATTTATACCACCAGGGAGACCAACC